TGGAAGGTGCTTCCTGTTGTCTGAGGCTGATTAAGTCGATGGCTAATATATCCTCCTTGTGTAAAAGACATTAAATCATCCTCTAATGTATTTAATTCACTTTGAAATTTACTCATCTTTTCCATTTGTGTATGCTGGCTTTCTCTCAATTGTTGGATACTTTCTTCTTGTTTATTTTCTTTCTCCTCCAACCACTACTGTAGTCTCTTTTCTTGTTTATTTTCTTTCTCCTCCAACCACTGCTGTAGTCTCTTTTCTTGTTTATTTTCTTTCTCCTCCAACCACTGCTGTAGTCTCTCTTCTTGTTTATTTTCTTTCTCCTCCAACCACTGCTGTAGCCTCTCTTCTTGTTTATTTTCTTGTTCTTCTTGTTTCTTTTCTTTTCCTCCAACAACTGCTGTAATCTCTCTTGTTTATTTTGCTGTTCAAGCTGCCACTGTTGCAGGTTTTTTACCATTGCTGCTGTCTCTCTTCTTGTTTATTTTCTCGTTCTTCTTGTTTCTTCTGCTGTTCTTATATTGCTGCCATCAAATCTGCTAAGCTGTAGTTTGATTTGCCACTTCTCGTTTCCTTTTTTTCTTTTTTTTTTCAATCCCACTTCTGACACAAATTTGTTACGTCTCTGGTCATTTGTTAATTTCCCTTAAAAATTCTTTGTGAAGAACTTCAGCGATACAAGTTCTTTCTTAAATAAAACTAGTTTATTCTTTCTCAATACAACTTTGCAATACACTTAATTTCCTCAATCACTTTAACTTAAACATACGCTATAATTCACAACGATTCACGCACTTTACTGATGACTTGACTTGATTATTTTTCTCTATCTGCAATTCTATATGCCGTCACTTCTTCATTTCCACTTTATTTGCCAGGCTTATATACAAAAATAGAGGACGTCTGGCAAACACTAGAGTTGCCAGGAACAGTCATGATCCTTCTAGAAACTCATGACGTGTTACCAGCGTCACGTTGACTTTCGCTGTCGTAACATTACTAAATTATAATGTTTTAGAAATCACTACTAGTTATTAATAATAATACTTATAAAAGCAGATACTCTATTTGGAACTATATCACCTCAGTGATATTGGTTGACACCATTGTTTTGGTTTTGAGCTATCATGTAATAAAAAATACACAAAATATTCAAACGTTTTGCTGTAATATTTATAGACATTCCCAGAACTTGTGATTCAGTCATTACATAGATACTGTTATTAAATGAAACACTGTATATTTAAGGCTCTGATGACCTATTGAAGAGATATTTAAAATACGATTTTGATTAACAATAAGAGCCATTCCTACATAAGCAGTGCTACCTGATACATTATTAATGTGCTGTTGGTTTCTGTTTTTCATGAGTACTGTATGTATTACTTTAGTAGTTGAGGAAAGACACAGCACATTTTTTCAGTTATTGCTGACCATCTTACTTGAAAAGATAGTTAGTGTTTTACCATTATCTCGTTTACTTGTCTCGAATTACACAAGTGTTGTCTATAAATGTCCTACAGAATTCAACATTAGTATATAAATTCTGTTGTTTTTATATGAATTTCATTTTATTGGTCACCAAGGAATCCAAAAATAAAATGTGTTCAGTGGGAAAATAACATAACATTGCAGAAAACAAGGGACCATTTGGTCCTTCAAAGCTGTCTGTGTAAACTCTTCAGAAAAAGACATAGAATTACATCCATCCTTTATGTTTTTTGTAAATCATCTATTCCCCATATAAAGTGCCAGACTCCTCTACTACTGATAGAAACTCATTCCTTCAGTTAATCAACCTGCTTGACAGGAACCTAACCCATTTATTAAACCTGTCTTCAGAAAATAGCACAGAGGTCTTTATCTTATCAATCATATGGATAATGTTAATTTAAAAAAAAACTTACTCTTTTCTCTTCAAGAGAAAGTTAAGGGATCTTTTATATAGGATAACCTTCATTCTCTGGAATCATTCCAGTGGCACTTTTCTAAACCTTTTCGAATAATTTAATCATTTTTTACATAAGGAGGCAAGAGCTGTACATGGTATTCCATTTGAGGCCTAATTAGTGATTTGTACGTAGAGAGGATTGTTTTGACCTATAATCACTGTCTATAAATATTGTTAGCTTTAATACAATCAACATAGTACTGCCTTAGTGTTTTGAGTTATTTATATACCACTGTGCCAAAGTCATTTTCTCATGTTATTAAGCGGGTTCCATTCTGTGTTAATCACATTTTGTTAAATGCACTTACTATAATTAGAGGTCATTTACTAACTTACCAATTGATACAAGCTATTCTGTAGTACCTCATCAAACTCAATACAATTAGAAGTATTGAACAAGTCGTCAGCAAACTTTACTAATTATGCCCCTTTTAATATATTAAATGTAAGTAAGATAAAGCAAAGGCCCAAGCACTGAGCTGTGTAACACACCACTGATAATAAAAATCCAGTTTTACTAGACTCCATTAATAACTACTTTTTTCTACCTTTCATCTACCCCCTAATTTAGTCGACTAGTCTATCCTGAACACTAACCAATGTGATTTATTTAAATGATATTCTGTGAGATACCTTATTAAAAGCTTTTAAAAAATCTAATTACTCGAACACCACACACTATCATCATAGATGTAATAAGTAACATCTTTGATAAAAAAATTAGACTAATAATACAAAACTTGCCTTTATTTATTCCATGTCGACTTTCTTTTATGTTGTCATATATCACTAAATAGCTTGTTCTTTTTATCAGAATTTTTCCAGCTATAGAAGTATGATTAACTGGCCTATAATTTTCAAGGCAACTTTTATCAGTTTTTTAAAAATAGGAATAACATTAACAATTCTACAACTTAAAGGCTTGTGTCCACTGTGTACTGGCATACTTAAAATGAATGAGCAAAACTAGTATTCTGTAATCTCTTTTAAAACCCTGGGAAAATAGTTGCGGTTCCTTAGCTGCATTCTTTCTCTTATTATTTTTACTTATCATCTAATGGATTAATGTGACCATGATTCCAATCAATATTTTCATTAAAATACTCAGTATCCTGTCTTATAAAAGCAGAAAAGTAAAAAAAACTGCCATCTTATGGTCTTTAGCAAAGTACTTGTCACCAGCATCCTGTAACTAATTTTAACATTCGACTTACTTTTAATGTACTTAAAACATCCTAGCTGTTATTTTAATGTTATCAGCCAGCTGTTTCTCTCATAAGCCCATTTGTAATTTCCTAATGTTTTTTTTAACCAAAGTTTTATATTTCTTATAGTTCCATAAATCTTCTGTCCTTTGTGTTAATTTAAATATCTTAAACTTATGATATCTATCACTGATTTTCTTCTTTACCTCTTTAGTAAGCCAATTATGTTTAATCTTTTCTGTTATTCTTTTCCTTCTGTCAAGAACACATCCATCTTGAATTGAATTTTATGAATTTACCCAAATATGTGCTACATCGCTTTTTAACTCATTATCATAATTCACTAATGATATAACTTTTTTCATGTCCTCAGAATTGGCTTTCTGAAAATTAGAAACTAAAATATCACTTATTTTATATCATTGTATAACAAATGAGGCAAATACGTAAAGAGGATTGTGATTTACTTTCCTACAAGCATTGTTTACATCTTTATAGCATTTCCATAAAATTGTTTGAGATATTTGTTACTTAGATTATCAAAATATTGCAAACAATTATTTTGTCTGGTCTCTGTTGAGATACAATTTTTTTTTCTATGTTTGTTATGTTAACTTTCTAAATCTGCTCTCTAGTTTTGATCTTAATCATCTGCATTGCGCTATTTCCTGTAGAACAGTCATCCTTCAAAGAAAACAGCTAGGCCTACTAAGTGGTGGTTCATAAGATACCAGACTATGGAGTGTGGAGTGTGACTGAGTATATCTCCAAACTCCAACTGAGATCAACTGGAAGAAAATCATGTAACTAAAAGGTGCACAACTAAAATGTTTATTGACAAAAGCACAATCACAATATCAAACACTAAGGGCAAGTGTGATTGTTGCGTGTGTTTGGACTACAAGAGAGAGAGAGAAAGTAAGTGAAACCTTAGTAGGCTGTCTTTCACCAGCCCAGTGTGCATCTCTCTGGTAATGTAAATAACAGCACTGTATATAAAACTAGATGCAACTTAAAGTTAAAAGTTATAAACATTACTAAAGTTGTAAAAAGCGTCTGTACAATTCCTGCAAACTCTTAAGTTATATGAGAAAAATTTTAAATCACAGCAAAAGTCTGAATAGCATTTAAGAACCTGACTTTTAGTACTAGAAAAATACAAGAATGTTATTCTGCATTGATCTCTTTCCACTCATTCTCAAGTGCTGTGACATGGGAAACCATGGACCATTATCTAATTTGCTGAGAGAAAAGACTACTTTCTCTTTCTGGAGGCTGTAACTTATCTTCCGTGCAAAAAACTTGGTTAATTGGCAATTAGCAAATGAGGTCTGGGACAGCAGAGGTAGCTAGAAGCAGTGTAAAAGTGTCTTCTTGAGCGATTTTTCATTTCCAAACTATACTCAAAGAAAAACAGAAATTTACATATTAACAAAGTGAGTAGGAAATACATAGTCCTATACCGTAGTATTGTATCACTTTTCTAAATCTTAACAGTAGTCTTAGTATGAGTTTGACAAAGTTCACAGTAAAAGGTTTTTTTACATTTATCAAAATACAAAAGCAGAATTTAACATTATACACTAGAAAAGGTGTTATAGTTACAAAACCAACATGTAACAATACTCAAAATATAGTATAAGCTGTATATAGTTATGTATAAAATCAGAGTGTAACAGCACAAGATAGGATGGGCTGTATATTGTTATGTATAAAACCAGAGTGTAACAATACAAAATAGCGTAGGCTGTATATTGTTATGTATAAAACCAGAGTGTAACAACATACAACATAGCATGGGCTGTATATTGTTATGTATAAACCAGAGTGTAACAACATACAACATAG